GCATCTGTGACAAGTCGGGCATCCGGAAGCGCCACATGTTCCTCACGGAGGAGGTGCTCAAGGCCAACCCAGGCATCTGCACGTACATGGAGCCCTCCCTGAACGTCCGCCATGACATCGTGGTCGTCCAGGTCCCCAAGCTCGCCGCCGAGGCCGCCCAGAAGGCCATCAAGGAATGGGGCGGCCGCAAGTCCGACATTACCCACATCGTCTTCGCCACCACCTCGGGTGTCAACATGCCCGGAGCCGACCACGCCCTGGCCAAGCTGCTCGGCCTGAAGCCCACTGTGAAGCGTGTCATGATGTACCAAACCGGGTGTTTCGGCGGTGCATCCGTGCTCAGAGTGGCCAAGGATCTAGCCGAAAACAACAAGGGCGCCCGAGTGCTGGCAGTCGCGAGCGAGGTGACCGCAGTCACATACCGAGCCCCGAGCGAGAACCACTTGGACGGGCTTGTGGGCTCAGCTCTGTTCGGCGATGGCGCCGGCGTGTACGTGGTTGGATCCGACCCCAAGCCTGAGGTAGAGAAGCCATTGTTCGAAGTGCACTGGGCTGGAGAGACCATCTTACCAGAGAGTGACGGCGCCATCGATGGACATCTCACCGAAGCAGGGCTCATCTTCCACCTCATGAAGGATGTACCCGGGCTCATCTCCAAGAACATCGAGAAGTTTTTGAACGAGGCCAGGAAGCCAGTGGGATCACCGGCATGGAACGAGATGTTCTGGGCGGTGCATCCCGGAGGTCCAGCCATTCTCGATCAGGTGGAGGCGAAGCTGAAGCTGACCAAGGACAAGATGCAAGGGAGCAGGGACATATTGTCCGAGTTTGGCAACATGTCTAGCGCCTCTGTGTTGTTTGTGTTGGATCAGATTCGGCACAGGTCTGTGAAGATGGGTGCGTCCACTTTGGGCGAGGGCAGCGAGTTCGGATTCTTCATTGGCTTCGGACCAGGACTGACACTAGAAGTGCTTGTGCTCCGCGCCGCTCCCAACTCCGCTTAGATTCCACCCCACCTCTCCTTTTTACTCCCCATTCTCACCAATTTGTATCATATCAAATTATTGCATAGCATAGTATTGTATAGCGTGGTATACCCCCTTCTCTTGTTCAATAAAATTGGCCGACTTTGCTCCACCATTCTGTCATTGTCTGAGTTTTTGTGTTATTTTGCTTCTGTACACAAAGCTGAGAGATGGGTTGATGATGCCTCTCTGCAAGGGCTTGATCCCTCTTCCGTTACGTTGTCTTCACACCCCATGCGGTTGTTCTCTTTGATGAATGAATGGAGGAAATGTAGTTGATGCAATGAATGTGGGGTGGTCGAAGGTCAATTTCAATACTCTTAATTGTCTTTCTTTGCCTTGGTAATGATGTGGCATTGTACTATGCTTCTTGAGAATTAGTTTTTTTTCTTCTTTTAATTAGAGAATTAGTGGGATTCTTAAATTAAAAGACAATAAATTCAACCATGAAAGAGTAGTTGATGTGACCATTTGTCCACACTTTTTTTGTTTTCTTGTTATTGTCAAACACAATTTCGGGCATCATCGACCTATGTTTACATTTCTTATTTTACATAAACTTTTGACTTTATCATTCTACAATGTGATTGTTATAGGGATTTTTTTGGTAGTACAGTCAAACTAATTTGTCAAGGTTCTTGGTTTTGTCAATACAATTATGAAGGATTTTTAATATTGTTGATAGAATGATAGTTGCAAAGTAGATATTGAACAGATTGAGTAGTATCAACATGACCACATATTATATATTATTATCTATAAAATGTTACATAAACAGAAAATATATTGATCTTTTTTCTATTTAGGATGTATAAGTGTGTGTAAGCATTTTTTTATTTTTTTAATGTTCAGATTTTATATATATATTTTTTTTTTTTCTTTCTGCTTCTTCTTCTTCTAATTCTTCCAGTAGCAAATGTTAAAGCAAGTTATCTTTCCAATTTTAATGGATATTAAAAAAACATTTGAACACATTCTTATAATTGAATATCATGAAAACCACATGATTTCATATGTATAAAAAATGATTTAAGAATATGTGACAGTTATAGTAAATCAAATTAGAAATAATAGTAACAATAGCATACATTTAAAAAAACTAAAAGTTATATACAATCATGTATTGAAATTTGGTATTAATAATTTTTGTAGAAACTAAAAAAAGGCTGAAAAATAAGTGTACAAATATAACAATAAGAGGCATGATAACAATGATAATGATAACAATCATAACAATATTGGGCAATCAAAGGAAGCATATAGGAAGTGTGGCTTGACCAAAATTCTATTAACCGAGCTATTTAAATTGTTGTAGTAGATAAGACTTAATTTTTCCAATAATTGTAAAGAAACATAAATAGTTCCATTGTTATGCATATACTCTTTTCATTTTTTCATTTTTTTTTTTTTTTTTTTTTTTTTTTGACAACATTTCACTATGAGTCGTCAATTTTTGACTTAGCATCCAAAAATTATAATTTTACAGTTTTTTCATGCCCAACACCACAGGTTTTGCTTAGTATTATACAATAAAACTAATTTATTCAAGTATTAGATTAAAAAATTAATGATAATTAAAAATTAAATAATTGAGTTAACGTAATGTTATAATATTACCAAGCAATCATTTTACTTCAATTCTTATAAAATAATATCTTCTACACTTAATTATATTTTACATGAGGCACATTTGAACCTCCTATTTTTTATTACCTTTTATTTTATTTAAATTAATTTATTGCTTCTTTAAAGATTAATGACTATTCTTAGTTTTTTATTCGTAGAAAAAAATTCTAAAAGATCAAAATAATAAATAATAATTTTTAAAAAATAGTTAAATAAATCTATTTTATATTATAATAAATTGTGATTTAAATTCAAAAAATTGAGGTATTTTTCTTAATTGATATTAATTTATTTTACTTCTGCTTTTTTTAGAATCACAACTAAAATTTCAATAATATACAAGTTTATGCACTGTTGTGAATATTGTCAGAAAGAGAGAAATATATGTATATTTATTTATTTATTACTTTGTACTTAAACAGCATGTTCTTTTGCTCAAGCTAATTATATTATATTCATCTGTTATACACATGTTTCATTCTTCTAATGCAACTTTTAATGCTTTTATTTTTCAAATTCCATAAATAATAAATATATATATATATATATATATATATATATGAAACTACATATATATATATATATATATATATAATTGTAAAATACATAAAATAATTGAATTAATACGCTATCTTAAGTTAATAAACAGTCTTTCATATGATAATATATCTTATAATTTTGTGTAAGCACATCTATATTAGTTTTGGGATTTCAAACATACCATTTAAGTATATTAATAATTACATAATATTATATAAATATGATACTCAGAATAATATACAAAATTCCTAATGAACATAATTCTCGTATTTTCTTTTATTACTATCAACTCTAATTTCATTTACTATCATCTATTCTCAAATCATTTTTTATACATGTGAAATCATGTGATTTTCATGATATTCAATTACGTGAACTTTATTTATAATGTTTTTTAATATCCATTAAAACTGGAAAGAGGACTTGCTTTCAAATTAGTTACTGGAAGAAGTAGAAGAAAAATAGAAATAAAAATATAAATAAAAATTGGTATAAATCAATCAATACTAAGAAATAAAAATATGCATTCAACAGAATAAACAAGTGCCACGTAGTTTAAACAATCAGCATGATTATTGTCATTTATGATGTTTAAAAACAACATGTTGCAAAAGAAAATATGAACTTAACATTTATTTTTAAAGTTTTTTTTATAATTATTATTAAATAGAAACCCATGCCATTGGACACAAAAAAGCTGTATATTTTAATTATTTAAGTCAAAAATCAACGACTTCTAAAGAAGTGTTGGCTTAAAAATAAATAAAATAAAATAACAATGGAACCATTTATGTTTCTTTAGTGTTATTGGCAAAGCCAATTTTTATTTACTTCAAAAGCTGAAATAGCTAGTTTAAAATATTTTAGAATAAACCACATTTGTTGTGGTGTTTTTAGGTTTATTTTTTTTGCTGATATAAAGAATCTTGATTGTATTCGGAGAAATACATTGTGAAAGGGCAACAAAAAAAATTATGTTGTGAAAGGACAACACATGTTTTTGGCCAAGAAGAAGATTTCTTTGTCTCAACCAATTGGCCAATGAAAAGACTTCTTTTATCTCTTTATCTTATAACTAAGCTTTCGTATTATATAGATATAGTTACCAAAAAATTATACAAATAAAAAAAAAAACACTTTATATTGTGATGTAGATGTTTTCATTTAACAGAAGTTATAGTTTTTTGTTTAAGTTCAAAAATCAATTATAAGTATAATTTATAGCAATATTTGGAAATCAGACAATTCCAACCCATCTTAATTTTGCAAAAGAGATACCCAACTTGCACTCTAATCCTTTTACTTCATTTGCCCGTCATCCATGTGCAATGGTAAAGGTGGATGCTTGATAACTGCATCAAATTTTGTGGATAAGCAGTCAGAATTTCAACATGGAACAAAAAATAGACATGATTAGACACGATTGAAGGTTCAATATTTATGGTTCAGAGAGCCTTTTGAATTTTCTATTTCCAGCTACCAACTGGGTACTTACTCCTCTCCGGACAACAAATCCTACTGCAAAAAATTGTGAGAAGCAGATTTGAGGAAAACCAAGAGATGAACGAGGACATATACAAAGGAAACAGGAGGATTGTGAAGGGGCTAGACGAGACCAAGCTGTGCACAACGACGCACCGATTGTTTGAAGAGCATCTCGTTTGATTGGGAGAGAGAAGAGGAAACATTCAGTTTCACATTAATTAGCTCCGTACATGAAATAATTGTTTTAGTCTACTTCAACAGGATAAATAGGGAGGAAGTGCACTAATCTTAAATAAAAACGATGCAGTTGTTAGATAGCAGATGTGCACAAAAATAAGGAATTTTCAATTTAAGCATCTTGCATTCAAGCTCTTGATCACATGCAAACCTCCTCAACGGCTAAACGCTTGAGAAATAGAACGCGTATACCGCTCAGCCGGCATCCCAAGCGGACGTTGTGACAGAAAATGTCAGTAACAGGGAGTTTCACAACAATCCGAGTACACCATTAAGACTGTACTGTCCTAGCTCTAATCTACAGCCTTGGATAACCGAAGTAATTTCACGCTCTTCACTAACCTACATAACTGAAGCGATACAAGACTGTGCCAGTTAACCTAAAACTCTAGCGTTCTCTACTGTCTAAAAACCGGATAGCCATCGCAGGTACTGAACACGTCACTGACCAACGTGGCCCAACCTATGTAAAACTGGCAGTCCTAACACATGTCATTTATGCTAACACACACTATTTTCTAGACGGTATATCTGTTCTTCGCACTCTTGTCTTGTCTCTTTGCGTCCTCCTGAAACACCACAGAATTGGTTAACGCTAATATCAACGACGAAAGAATTGCTCAACCTTAGCTTCGAAAATGTGAGTAACCGAGTTACTACAACAATACAAGACAAACTGTCATTGGTCAACCAACAATGACGAGACCGCGACGTCTGACTCTTACTCAGAAAGCCGACAGATAAGTACACGTAGGAATGAAAATAAATCGACTTCTCCAACTGATCCCATATGTAAAGACTCTCTTCGCACATAACATTCCAGGCGAGATCTGATTTATCAACTCTATGATAAGTTTGACGATTAGTAGATCAAATAACTTACATGGACAAGGTAGCCGAGCTTGTCATTATAGTCAAGAACCTCCTTCCATTGCTTTGCAATGCTAACCTGTAAACACCAGTAATCACACAATGTTACTTGTCATGAACTCTTCGTTGGTACGCTTAGGAGAAGCAATATTAATCAGTCAGATTATCCAATGCCATAAAGGACGAAAGGCATTGGACATGAACAAATGAAACCTGTGCTCCGAGAGAGGCCTAAAATATGCTAGTGGGATGCACTAAAAATGGATATTATTCTAGAATTTTTCGTGTAGAACAGATGGAACAAAGTAAACTTTCTCATAATGGATATTTTTTTCTTGAAGCCCCGATACCGACCGATCACCAGAACATAGCATCCCGAAAACACGGCCGTATATTAATCTAAATTGTCATGATGACCCACCTGAGCGGCCTCGTTGGAAGCAGTCTTCGTCCAGATGGCAATCTTATCTTGTGCCCTCCTTACGCTCACAACAGCTCCGCAAATTTCATCACCTTCGTCAAATTGCTCTCCAATCATAGCCAGCAACTGAACCCACAAATTACAATATAATAAGACTTCAAATCTAGATATCAATTGATCGAATCAAAACTATCTCAGATATGCGGAGCGCTTGTTTCAGCTCAAAAGTTGACCAACTTTCCCTATTTCCATGAGGACATATTCAACCAAAGCGACAGTAGGAAAACCCAGAATCAAGAAAGATAGACAGTACAGTGTGAAGCCAGTAGGTATCAAGGATAGCCTTGCCGCCGCTTCTAGGAGGCTGCGCAGTCCATTTGCCACCATGAGCACACTTGGGATCCTCCCACTTTGGCTCAATTCCGGACTTGAAGCAATGAAAATCCGCACCCTGAATCAGCTTGCTAGGTTGCAAAACGTTGTTGTACAAGCTGGAAACAATTACTACGTCACAATGTGCAAGAATATACCAAAGGATTCATGTTCAACGCCGCCACAGTTGTACCCACTGTGAAACCCTAAAATGCACGCTCTCACTCACTTTAATTCAAAAGCAATAGACTGAACGGTTATTGCACTACCCTATTCATCTGCTCCGCTTCACCTACTAAGGTGACCCTAAAAAGATATACGGGGGCGGAAGGGTGATACACCAGAGGCTTTCAACTATTCCAAACGTTGTAGGCGTGGCGAAAACAACAAAACCCACGACGCTGGGTGCAGGGCAAAGCTCCACATACCACCAAAACTCTTCGACAGTGTGGAACGTATACACGGCACGAAGAGAGCTCCCCCATGTTGCCTGCTTTTGCTTCCCGCCCGGGTTATCGAACCAAAATGTCCACGAATGCTCCAATGGGTGCTTCTTCACCTCAGCTGGCCGATCTACGGGCTTCTCAACAATCTCCCCTACTTCTACCTGATCGGCCTTGGAATCGTCCAAGGTCAGTGCCTCCGTCGTCACTGCCAACTCGTCCGCCATTTCAATATGGTATTGACCTCTCTATATCTCTCTCTTTCTCTCTCTCTCCCGCTCAAATTCCTTGCCAAGGTTGCGGTGTGGATTGCTCTCCGCTACAGAAAAGAGACCGAGTAGTCGATTCAAGGGCTGCAAAGTCAGAAGCGATTCGAAGACCTGCAAAAATGAGCCCAAAGCTCCGCAGATGGGAGCAAAGCGGAGCAAAAGCTTGCGAGCCACATCGCAAGGTTTTCTGCCGCTGACAAGCCCTAGAGCTTGTCCTGGAGTGGGTCAGGCCGGGTTAATGCGTTCACCCAGCCCGTCGCTCTGAGCGGATGAACCCCGTCGACGGCTCCGACTGGATGATTCGCCGATAAAGTTTAGTGACTCATGAATCGAGAAAGGAAAAGGTAGAATGGGTCCAAAGTCTTAAGCCCTTGTGATTAGGGCAAACAATAAGCAATTAACCACATTATATACATTTTCTAAATAATTATTTTTGAAATTCAGAAAATTCAGTTTAATTTTTTGAATTCTCACCATGCTTTGTAAAATTCAAATCTTTGATCTAATTGACATCTATATTGTACAATATTTTTATACATCTTTTGCATATTGGATGTTTTAAGGAAAATTTTGTTTGGATGAAGTGGTTTCTTGATATATATATATATATATATATATATGTGTGTGTGTGTGTGTGTGTGTGTGTGTTTTTTAACCAAATATTTCTTTAAAACCTTTAATATTTTAATCAAAAGTTATAATCAATAGTCAATTTGGTATAGTATTAGGTCTTTGTTATGTTCTATTCTGTCTAATTTTAAAAAATATATTTTTTCATTTAATTTTATAGTATAAGTTATTATTTTCTTTGATTTCTTTTACAAATACACTAATAACTTAAATTCTAAGTCTTAACCAAATACTTATGATAAATTTTCATAAGTATATATTTGATATGTTAGTGAGCAAGATGTTTATATATGTGTGGATGATTATTATTATTGAAAATTTCTACAAATAAAAATATACATATAATTTTTTTAAATTTTTATTTTTAATAATTTATAAGATCTATAAATATTAATATATTTTTAATTTAAAATATATTATGAAATCAATTTAAAATAATTATTCTTATATATATACATATATATGTATTTACATTGAATACAACCACAAGTGCATGTTTACAATCAACAATCCTATTTCTTTCATTGTTAAATAAGTTCTTACACATTCCAATTATAATGCAATTACGAGAATTTTTTTTATTGATCTAAAAATGATATAATAGAAACAAATGCCGACATCCAAATTAATGCCACTATTTTATTTTTATATTAATCTAAAAATTAGATTGATTATCATCTACCTCTATTTATAACACCAAAAAAAATTTAATATTTTTTTTGGAGCTTTTAGTTATTACTATTCTTATTAAAAAGATATTATTTTTTTAAATAATAATCCCAAAATTAATAAATAATAAATAAGATATTATTTTTAAAAAATCTATTTAATTCATAAAAAATAGATATAAAACTTTAAAATTATTTATGTTTGAAATTTTCTTTTTAACATTTATTTTTGATGATGGTTGTAATTATTATTTATTTTTATATTTTATTTTTTAATATTTTTTAAGATATTCCTTTATTAAAAGTGATATCACTTTTTTCTTTTATCTAAATTATCATTATTTTTCTATTAAATATTTAATATTTTTACCAAAAATATGAGAAGATAAAACTCCAAAATTATTAAAAATAAATTTAATTCATTGATATTATATTAAATTATATAAAATTACTAGTAAATTTTCTATTTAAATTTTTTAAAAATAAATACATTACCTACTATTGTAGATACCTAATAAATAAACTCTTCTTCAAAATGTTAACATGAATCGTAGAAAATAAATTTACTTATATACCATAATAGAATGAATAGTTTGATATTAAATTATTAAATTTGATAATGTATGTTGACAAAAAAAAAAAAAAAAAAAAAAAAAAAAAAAAAAACCTTTAAGGAATACAAAGACTTCTTAAAAACAAACATAAATGTCTTAAAATAACTACATCTATTTGAAGCTAGAGAAATAAAATAAATTTCTATAGTAAAAAAAGATCCAAATTACAAAATTACTCTTAAAATACTATACATTATATATTCTATCATAATCCAAAACTTTGTTTTAAGGATTTTGGATTCAATGTAGCCAATTTTTTCTTTTGAATTAAAAAAATTAAAAACAATATTCTAATTTAATAAAAAATCTATATTTTAAAAAATTCAAAAATGAAAAGATAAATACATAAACTCTTATATAATCTATCTACTTATCATCTTGTTTCCATAATACACTATCTTTTATAAAAAAAGTAAAGTATAAAATTTTAAAAATCTTGTTTTTAACTTGATTGTCATATATTAGTATTGATTCAATTCAAACACAATCAATTTTTTTCTCTTATGTTTACATTGTTACTTCAAAATCTAAAGTAATATAACACTTATTTATTATTTTTTAATCATTTATATATACTACTTTTGATAAAATGGAAGATGAATTTTACATATTTATTTTTTTTAAATCAAAAAACTATAAATTATAATCATTATAAAAAAAATTGCTTATACAGTAGTAGTTGTTATATCAATTTAATAGGATGTTATATATAGAGATGTAGCCAAATAATCTAAATAGTTACTAATAATAAATATATATATATATATATATATATATATATATATATATATATATATATATATATAAAAATAATAAAATTTCTAATAAAGCCTTCAAAGATTTGATTTTAGAATTAAATGGATTGAAGATTAAACTAAGTATTTTAATAAATAAAACTAAAAAATATAGTATACATACACATACACAAATTAATTTTAAATTCTAAAAGCTTAATCTAAGTTAAAGAGAAATTTAAATCTTATTTTTATCAAATGATTTATTTTATATTTCAATAAAATAAATAAGGTAATAAAAAACAAATTTCTTAATAATGTTTATATCAAATGATGAAATTCTTTTTAATAAAAATGTCCTAAACAAGAAAATATTTTTTATTTAAATTTTTATGGTTTGTAATATGGTATTGTTGTATTACATATCATCTTGATTGAGAATATATTAGGTACCTGATTATGGCACGTAAAGTTCTAGTTTGCAACTAATCAAGAATCATAATAGTTTTTAATCAATAAAAAATAATACAATACAATTCAAATCTTTATATTTAATACTAATGTAAAGTGTCCAAGAAAAACTTTTTTTAATAATATGAAACATATAAAAATATTAATTCTCTTTTTATTTTCATCCTTTTGTAACTTAAATTGCTTTTATAAGCATAATCTTGGTAAGTAAAGCTTCAATAAGCTCATTCTTCTATTTTTACCATCTAATTGATATAAATATTTTTACAATAATACTATTATAAGTTATTATTGAATTAACTTTTTTCATCTATTTGGTTTTGCTAACTATTTTTAAGGTTCAAAGAGAGATAGATTGTTGATTAAAACCATAAGCTTTATACAATCGGCTTAGATTAACAAGTTGAACTATCAATTTAATTTTTTTTATTACTACCAATTGCAACTATAATGTCTTATATTTTCTATACCTTTTATAATAAATACTTAGATAAATTATTGTCTTAAATTATATTTGAATCAATTGATATTGATGAATAATTTAGATAACACAATTATCTTTTTTTATCCATGAATTCTTTTAAATTAATAAAAAAAATCAATAAAAAGTCATAAATATTAATATCTTATCACAAATTAATTGTTATTGGAATTTCTAAAATTAGTATTTTTATTTTATAATAGTAAAAAGATTGAATGTTAAATAAGCAATCTAGTTTAGGTAGAAGCACAATTCTTTTTTACTTATGGAAAATTTGAAACATCATAAGATACCAATTGAATCTAACACAATATGAACTAGGACTAATTAAGTTTTAGATAGTGTTGCCTTTATTTATTAACCCTCATGCAATAACTTAAGACAACAATATAATGCCAATTAAATAATTACTTGTCTCAACTTAGCAATTCAATCTTATTCCAATTGTTGCCCTTTTTAAAATCTTTAGAATAACCAACATCTTCACTTTAATAATCTTGTATGCTAAATCAAATATTTGGAGACATAAATGCAAAGAATAAATATGTTTATTTCATAACCATAAATCTTGTTTTGGTTGGTGGTATCTCTCCCAATAGAGTTTATTTTCATATTAGAATTTTTTGTCACTTTATAAGATGTTCAGTTATAGCCACTAATTATTTTATAATAACCTATTTAGTAATCCATGTATGTCTAACAACCTATTAGTAAGCTAAATAGAAACTAAATATTTAATTTAAGAATTAAAATTATATATATATATATATATATATATATATATATATATATATTACCTTAACTATATAATGCTTATAATTATTTACACACTTAAAAAATTTAATTCTATCTAACACAAAAATTGTAAAGAAAGTACCAAAAAATCTACTAATATCTTCAAGCCTCCAATTTAAGAGTCAATAGTGAAGTTCTAGTAGTAACTAATCCTTCTTAAACCATCTACTTTTTCTTTTAGTATTTTTTTAGATTAAAATTTAAACCTTATATATATATATATATATATATATATATACACCAATTTTTACTTACTTTTAATTAATAGATATCTAGATATTGCAAAAACCTTAACTAATCCTAAACTACAAATTCTATTATCTCCTTGTATATATGATTAAATATTTCTAATTTGTATTGCCAATATTATATGAAATTTCACAAACTTTTCTTATACATAATTTCTCACATATTCAAAAAAAATTCAACCATAGATGTTGCACAAATTGTATAAACTAACTAATAATACTTACCTTGATGTTATTGCATAAATCTTAAATTATTAATAAAAATTGTGATTTTAAATATTTCTTTCAAAGTCATCCTAAAACCAATCAAAATCAAACTTATGTTTTTGGAACAAGCTTAATTTTTTTTTTTTTAATCCTAATTATTAATTTCCAAATACCCTTTTGACTTATCATAAGCAATTTTTTTAGTAGTTAGAGATATAATATCAACTCTAACTTACAAGTGGTTGTCTCTTGGATATGAAACCAACATATCTTAGCAATGTTTTGGACATTCTTCTACCCTCAATTTTATCCTAGAGCCAATCATATTAATTACTTACTTGATCTATCAAATTTTTACTAATCTATTGCCTTTCTAAAGTAGTATAACCATTTTGAAGTTGAGAAAAAAAATAACCAACTAATTTTATTCTATAAGCTATTAAGACAGCAAAAAGTAAATCAAGAGGCTTTCATAAAAGTCTTTCTTAATTGTCTTTACTTCTTACTAGACCAAAATGATAGAATATTAATTTAAATAAAAAAATGTTGTCTTTTTTACCATATAGTTGTATTACAACATGTGAATAAGTTAAGATTCCAAAGCAATTTCTTATATAAGAAACAATTAGAAGGCTTCAAATACTTCTTGAATAGGCATTTCATAATCAAACAAAGTAATAGAGGAAAAATCAATATTCCAATTACTCGTCCGAAGTCTTCACCGAGGTAGGTAGGAGACTCCGGTTTAAGTCACATCATCTTCCAAGCACTGCAACGACTCTACTTCCCAATTGTTTATCAAGTTGAGTGGTGCTCACGCTTGTTGAACATTGTAGCAATTCCGATACGGTTCCCGACTTTTCGATAAGACCATGGAAACCTGTGATGTCATGGTTTCAGAGTGGCATCATGGATTCCGACATGGCGCTTCACACCAGGATCCGATCTATGCTTACGACTTCTCTTCTCTCAACTTACCGATTCTTCTGCTCTGTTGTGGAACTGTAGCAATTCCGACATTGACTAGCCGTAGCTATGACGAGAATCAGAAGCTCGATGTGAAGGTTTTTCCTGCAATTTTGTTACGTTTGGACTTTCGCTTCTTGCCTAACGTCTGTGAATTTCAGAATAAATTGGGTTGAAGAATTGCCAGAAAATATGGTGAATCATGCAAGCCTGCAAGCACGGACGCAGAGGTTGATGATGACAAGCTGAGAAGAAACGAATGTTTAATCCTGTAACCAACCCGCAAGTTGAAACTTCAGCTGGGCGTACTTTGATACTGTGGGCAAGAGTTGGAAGGGGGCGTCACTCGAAAGTTGCATCAACGAGGTCAACACACTAAGGTTCATATCTCATCTCTCTGCCTGTTGAGATTCTTGTTAACTTGCAATCCTGACATGGTTTGCTCATAGGCTTGCTTTCTTGCATCGAGTATGCACATTCGTACTTAATGCTGGCATGTAGAGGATGTAGTTTTACTGCGACATAGACAACCCTGTGTTTGAATGGATTTCATGTTTTAGATCTAGCATTGCCAAGTCTGGTGGAGCTAACGTGTTCGACAGCAATGTTCCCTGTCTTTGTCTCTAAATAGGTGCAATGAAGGCCGCAGCCTTTGATCTGTGTCATTCCGCTGATCTCATGATGCGACGAGCAAGCCCAGAGGCAGCCCTGAAGCTCAATTTGCTCAAGAACCAGGGCCTATTTCCCTGACAAAGATGCACGCCAAAGGTCAGGTCATTGAGCTACAACACGAAGGATCTGATGGCAAGTCCCTGAGTCAACGCCATTCTGATGACGCGTCTGCAACTGGAGAGAATGACGGAGTAGCAAATGGGGAAACCAGGGGCGAGAAGAAACGTAAGAAACGTTCAAAGAATTGGACTGATGAGGAAACTGAGGTGTTGTTGGAGGCTGTTCCTCGGAAAACGAATGTAAAGAGTCGATTCGACAAGAGTGATGGCAGTGAACTGTCATGGGAGGACATGGCCAATAAGCTGCCCGGGAGGACAGGGGATGAATGTCGAATGAGGATGGATATGCTTACAAAATCGTACAAGGCAATCAAGACATATTGTGAGAACCAAAAGAAGAAGTTCAGGCTGCTGACGAAAGTGGACTTTGAAGACATCAAGCTGGCAACCCACTTTCCAAAGAGTTAATATAAGTGTTTATGCGATTATTGCCCACCCAGATCAAATAAGAAGATGACAAACCAAGGAGCTGGAAATCCGATTGAGAGCAAAGGTACTTTTATTTCAAGTTCCTCGAGGCCCAGTAATACAACTACCCTGCCTTGTCATTCTGTCCTGCATAGCATGCAATTGTGACTTTTTCTTCAGTTTTCTTTACCTATGCCTTATGAGGTGGTGTTGTCTTGGAATACTGAAGCACGGCATGGATTTTTAGGTCGTCAATCACCTACTAACCCAGTTGCAACTTCATTATGGATTTGATCCTTAGGTGAGCCTGGTTCTCTCAGTGACGAATTCCACAATCTTGTTGCAGAGGGTTCAAAGGTGGTGATAACAACCGATCAAGTCAACTAGAGTAAGATACAAGTGAATGCATTTGCAGCAGTGGTATGTTTCCAATCTAGTGATCTGGTATTGAAGGTATCGGTGGGCATGCTTGAACAAATAGATACTTGCAAGTCCATAAAGCCACAAGGATATACTCATCCGTCAAAGTTAAATTGCCAATGCCAAATGAGCGTGTAAGATGAAACTGTGTTGCTTGTAAATTTGCTTGATTGACTTTATTGAGGGAGAGGGCTTTCTGCTACAATCATCTCCAAAGTTTTCAGTCCTGCTTCAGACATTTGTCTTGAGAATTGGTTGTTTCTTCCTTATTCGTGTAAATTTTGTCCTCTACTTCTTCTTCTTCTTCTTCTTCTTCTTCCTTTAAATATTTTCTGTTTCTTCTTCAGTGACTTCTCTTAGCTCTTTTTATTTCATCCTTTCAATCGTTTAATTCCATCCTCTCTTTGCTTCTCTTCCTTCTGTCTTCTTCTGGGTGTTTTTCCATGTTATATTGAGTTGTTCGTGCGGAAGCGGAAGCAAAATTGGGAGCGATATGCAAACACCGCGTTTAGCAGAAAGAATACTTCATTTCAATTCAAGAAACAAGATGGAGCTGGGCTCGATGTTTGAAGCATATCCAAATGTGGATTTGCGTGATGATCAGCACCAGAAGAGTACGAATATGGAGGGAGTGTGGAAGCCACTGAAGGCGGCCACCTTAGTGATATGTCTATGCCTCATCATCAAGTGTGGCTGAAAGGTTGAGGTTTAATAGCCAGCTATGGTTGGTGTGCAAGCTGAGAGACATGAAAATTGAGCTGGAAATAATATGGGAACTAGGACGGATGGAGCCGAGCTGCATTGCAATCGAATTCTGAGTTTCAGCGGGGGATTCGGTTTCAGGCGGCTATGCACAACTAGGCAATAAGGTATGATTCACGAAACTGTCACTCTTGTTGCTGAATATTAGACCAACTAAGTTGTCTGAGTCACGTTGTCAATGCTAAGATCACTGCCACGAGGCCTGTCAACCGTAAGTGGAACCGCGGACTATGAGGCAGTCGATTGAGTGTTGCATGAAAAAGTTGCAGGTTATTGTTCGAATTGGTTCGTCGGCTGACCAACTTGAAGATTTTCATGATTACAGGCTAATTGTATGTATGTTCTGGCCAAATTGAGTGATTTTCGAAATCTGATGGTATTCATTGAGTTTATTTCTTGAGTTCTATCTTTCTATCTTCTGCTTTGGCGCACATATGAAAGAGCAATATTATTGCAAGGAAGTTGGACGGTATTGGAAGGCCCTATCTGATGAAGTAGTGAATGAGGAATATTTGAAGACCGTGGTGAACATTGTATGAAGAGGAGCCGTATGACGTCGACCGCATACGTGCAATTGTCTAAGTGGGAGCTGTTCAGAACTGGGCTATTCAGCGCCACTACCTGGAGATGCGAGGACTATATGTGATGCTTATTTTTTATAAAAAAATTCAACACTGTATGTTTTGCTTCAGGCATCCACTGGATTTATTATGGGGGACCGGGTCGTTTATAAATAGTTCTGGCGACGGTATTGGTGATACGTGGAGTTAACTGTATGCGTCTAGGCCCATGTTTTCCAGGCGCTATCAGACCCGCATCGAGGCCCCACAACGTTGGAATCTGAGAAAGAACTGAGGTGCACCGGATGCACCATTGTCAGTAGCGGTCGAGCCCAACACATCTGCCCATACAACTCCTGCACTTCACCGCATGAACCCCCAGCTCCTCGTCTACGAAACGAAAGCCCAAGCGACCTCCTCCTGCATACACATCACTGGACTGCACCCATCGATGATCAGCAAGACCTTGAGGATCCGATGTTCCTATTTCTTCGGAATTTCTGCTTTGATTTCAATGCGGAAGACTTCAAATTAGCTTTTGAGCGCTTATAAATTAATGAACAATCTGAACTACCCTACCAAAAACATTGAGTTTACAAAGTATTTTGCAACCAAGCTGGTTTGCTTGGTAGCCATTTCGTGACCTGTCTGTTGTATTGAGTATATTAATGAAATACCGACATAATTATTTTATGCTGAAAAAGAAAAGATAAGAAAAAAAAGATAGTCTTTTAGGTGTTGTGATGTATGTTGTCTTAATGTGAATCAGTTTTAAGATTATTTCAAAGTCAAATCGATAATAATTAAAAGATTATGTATAAAAACAATGCATTAAAAATAGTTCACCTAATTTGTTTTTAACAGTTTGGTAAATGAAATGAAAGTGAGTATGATTTAATATTATAGTCATAAGAAAATTAGATAAGTCATTAATATTTTTAATATAAATAAATAGAATACGTTATAATAGCTCTATAGTTAACTATGTTAGTACTGCCTATTTTCCAATGCATTTATAATCCACGTTTAATAAAATAAAAAATACTTAAGGTACTCTTAAAGTTATCATAAATTTATCATTATATATATATATATATATAGATAAACAGATATTTATTACCAAGACATTTATTGAATTGATCCACCCATCTTCATGAGTTGCAGATCCAACAATTTTTTCTTTGGCTATCAACAAATACAAATCCATCATCAGAGAAATTTTGATGATGGAAAGGATGGGTGGATTGATTTAGTAAATGTTCAAGTCAATTTTAAAAAATTCAATCTATATATATATATATATATATATATATATATACTCAAAAAATAAATAATAAAAAGTATATATATATATGTAATAGTTTTAAATTTCATGTATTAAAATTAAGAATAGATAAAATATATATTTAAAATTTGACAAGTTTTATTATTTATTTATATATAAAAATATATGAAAAAAATGTGAAAAAAGTATAGAATTTTAAATCTAAATAATTTCTTGTATAAATATTTATTTTATTTTGAGTATTTGAATTCAATCTATTTTTATAATAATACTTAATTGGAAATATCTTATAAATTTTTATTTAAATTTTAATATTCATATGAATATTTTTATGGATGTAAACAAGATAACTAACTTAATTTTGATTTTTAGCATATATAATAATAACACAAATTTGGATTGATTGAGTATTTTCAAACTTTTAAAGACAAAATATATGATAATATTATATGTACATTTAATAATGATTTTTGTTTCTAACAAAATTTATTTATATCATAATTATTTTATTATACAATTTAAATACTAGTTGTAACTCAAATAAATATTAAGAATAATAAACATCTTTTACAAAATAATATTATTTATCATTATTGTTATTATATATATTTTTTAAAAAAATATCAAATGTGAGTAAAAAACTTTGATTAAAATATAATTTTCTAAAAGCCATTAAGTTTTATATATATATATATATATATATATATATATATATATGGACACACATATATTAGATAATTTTCTTATAATTTATTAATAATTAAATTAATTATTTTTTAAAAATATAAAATTAGATAAAATAATATATCATATTGTCAAAGACAAGAACATGATAAATACAAATAAACAAATGAGACTTCTTTCATAGAAAGATGACAAAATAGAAATAATTTGATATATATATTAAGAAAGAAACTAGAATGGCTATTGTTAAAACCAAGAAAACTAGAGACCCTTGAAACTAGATTGGAAGCAAGATAGGAGTTGACAAGAGTGAAGAAGGCTTCACTCTTGTCTCTATATATACTATCTAACTAAGGGCTATGTGGCGATGTTTTATAGGACCTCCAATATGTGTTGACTTTGTAAGACACATGTCTTGACTTACAAGGCAAATTTTTCTACGTGTGGGCCACATAGTTAGCTTGGCTAACAACATGTGTAGCACATGGCCAACTTGTTGACCACGTTTCTAATCAAAAAGTCAATTAAAGACACCTATAAAGTCAAAGCAACATCAATGAAGCTTCTAAGAAGCTTCTATACCAAATACTATAGAATTAACTTATTTTTATCTACTTTTACTTACTTCTACTTATTTATACATGTAATTATTGGCTTACATGCGTATATCTGTGACATTACCCCCTTTCTAGGGACGAGTTCTACGAAGAGTGGTAATCATATGTTGAGAAAATCTATGATGTGATGAATTATATTCGCCACATACTCTGATCTTTGTTCTCTTTGAAGATGATTGATAGGGCCTCACAACCATCGGTGGTGTCCCATATCAAGGCGAAAAGACCATCCAATTATTTGATCATTGTTGAGGCCTTCATAACTTCCTTCGAATAAAACATTTGGAACACCATCATGAGTTGTTCCTATATGTAATAAAATCACCAAATATCGAGAGTCCCTTTCAAGGTCGTGATACCAAATGTTGTCATGTTGTAACACGACTATATGGTGAAAGATGATAATATGGATCTTATTATAGAAGTGCCAAGTTAAAAGAAAAGGTAGAAAAATATGGATAAAAGATAGGAAGGTAATAAAACGTTTAGTAGTAATGTTGTCTTTTTAGAATGGTGACTTCTACTTACTTTGTAAGGCCATAAATAAGACAAAACAAGATATAATGGAAAAATAAATAGTATAGACAGCTTAAAGAAGAAGTTAAGAGTAAATTCCAGTAAAAATTACTTAGAAAAACTAGATATTGATACCCGGAGAGGGCTGGTTATGAACTAGCATCGAAATCAGACCCTGGGGGACAAAACTAAGTCTTGACAACAACTCCGAGATTCTTTGGCAGATCAAAGAATGGGGTTTGATAGAAGATTGGATAGGTTTCTATAGGCGTTGATTTTCGATGATTTGGAGTTATTATGGCTTTGTAAGAGCTTTGCAAAGTCAAGGTTTGTTTTGGATGACTTGGGTTTTATGAAATAAAATAGGATTTATGATTTGGATGATTTCGAGAGATTTGTAGCAGATCTATTGATGAAATTTTGTGGGTTTATGGTTGTAGATGTTTTCAATATATTTTGTGAATTTGAGCTCGATCTAATAGTTGAATTGAAGGATATTGAGGTTTAAGTGGGTCAAGGACTTAGAAAGTAGAATTTTAGGTCCAGTGAGGGTTTTTAAGATTTCTTGCAATCTACGAGTTGGATTGAAGTGAAACTTATGTGAGAGGATATAAGACTTGTTTTTCTATATGTATGAGAATTTTGAGATCGATCGAATAGTGCAAAAGAGAGATATTGGCTCTGGAAGATTGGCATTAAGATTGGAGAAGAAGGCCGACCAATACCCGAGCACATTTTTGAGGTTATTGTCAATTTGGTAACTCCGATCCTTTTCAATTTTATTTTTTCTTGTTTTTAACTTATTTTTTAAGAAGTGTGCAAATTTTGAATTAAGATCGACGGTGTATTCATTAGTTATTGAGGTTTAAATCTATTATAGAAATTATTAAGGTTTGGTTTAGGGTTTGGTTAGGGTTTGGTTAGGACTTGGTTTAGGATTTGGTTTAAGGTTTGATTAGGATTCGATTTAGGATATAAGATTTAGGATTTGGATTAGAGTTTGTTTTAGGATTAGAATTTAGGGTTTGGATTAGGATTTGATTTAGAGTTAGGATTTACTTTAGGGTTAGGATTTAGAATTTGGATTAAGATTTGGATAAGGATTAGGGTTTAGGATTTGAATTAGGGTTTGGTTTAGGATTAGGATTTGGTTTAGGATTTGGTTAGGATTTTATTTAGGGTTTTGGATTTCGTTTAGGATTTGGTTATAATTTGGTTTAGGATTTGGTTGAGGTTTGGTTTAAAGTTGTTTAGGGTTTGATTTAGGGTTTGATTTAGGGTTTAGGTTTTTATAAGGGTTTAAGATTTAATTAGTTTTGGCCTAAAATTTGAATGAAGTTCAATGGGATTTTGACTAGAATTAAATAAAGATTGAATTGAGATGTATTTGAGTGATATTTGTGATCATTATAATATTTCTTTAAGAATTCTTATTATTGGTTTCAAATTTCTTTGAAGTTTTTTTTGAATTTGATTAAGCTTGCTTAGCATTATTATAGTCTAATTAGAGAATTATTAGTATTCTATTAGAATTAGGATTTTGTTATTGTAATTTCTATTCTTCCTTCTACAGCCAGGTGCCCAAAGCATTCTCAAGCAAGACTTCACGTATTACGACAACACATTGTATTTTGACATCTATTCTAGGAAGAACATGTCGTTCTTGAAGTTCTTCATCTCGATTGTGATGTCTTGAAGGTTGAGACAATTGTAATGTCTCATATGACAAGTCAGCAAACAAAGGCTCTTGAGTCGAATTCGCTAGTTGTTGGTTCTCCATCTTCTGAGCGTCACAACTATAAAGAAGCTACAAACAAGGATTAAAAGTAGAATGTTATCTTGCCTAGATCTTGTTTCTTTTATGAAGAAGGTTTTCATCTTGATTTTGATAGATGTCGTCGATGAAAATCCTCCACCGCCTTTGTTGTATTTGCAAGATTCTTTACTGGCTCCCATGTGCATTCATTAATATCATATCCACGCCAATGGACAAGATATTCTAATTTATTTTGATGCCGCCTTGAATCTAAGACTTCTTCCACTTCAAACTCTTTATTATTGTCTATTTCTATAGGAGGAAGTAGAGCTTGTCTTCTTCTTGGTATGTTCATTATCTTGTATGGTCAAGAAGAGACACATGGAATACTGGATGGATTATCATTGACTTTGGTAGATGTAAACGATATGCAACTGGATTGATTTGTGCAGAAATAGAAAATGGTCCAAGCCTTCGATAGTCCAACTTATCACAAGGACAAGTGGTCTTGATATTGCAATGAAGTAACCATACCTTATCACCCATATGGAATGGTGGTTGTTCCTTTCGATAGACATGCGCATTGACCTTTTGTTGTTCTTGAGCTTCTTTTAACTACGCCTTCATCATTGCATGTAGCTCTGACAAATGAATTCTCAAATCTTTTGTAGCAGGATTATCAACTTTTAAAAGTCAAAAGTATCAAGTTGTGGATGATAACCATAATTAGTAAAAAAAGGTGTTTTTTTTGTAGAAGAATGTACCGTGTTATTGTAAGCAAACTCTGCCAATGGCAAAAGAGTTTTCCAATCATC